AGATTGTTTTTGGATTCGTTTGTAGGTCATTATTTGGACCAGAAACGCCTAAAGATGGGTCTGTACAGACATCCTTGGGACGACATCACGTACATCATGCCTGATCATCTCACAGACCTTCGCCCAGCAAGTTTTGAATAAGCACGTGACAGTCACGTAGTAGAAGCCGTAAGAATTGCAAATTTGGGTTTTCCTCTATAAACCCAATCGAGCGGAACATTTAACTGAAGAATTTTTGGAAGAAAGAAATTTTAGTCGTGTGTTGAGGCCGTAATTTAATTCAGGGATAGTTTTTGCCTTTTTTGTAATTCTCGTGTTAGTAGTTTTGACTGCTTAGCGCTATACGAAAATTTTGTTGCACCTGTCAAGCTCGTGTGGATTGCGTGACAGACCAAAGAGAGTTTTTGCTCTCTTTGAAAATCGGGAATATGTTGTACAATAATATGGAAGTAATGCTGTAATTTTAACTCCCATTTGAGTTATTCATTTGGATTTGAAATTAATTTAGAGCAACTTGCTTCAAAGAAAATGTAACTTCAAAAATGTTACGAACTTTATGATCGACTGGAGTAGTCGATAGTCGCGAGAGACTGGCACAAGCACGACATTACGTGAATTATCCCTAGCAAGGAGTTAGAGGTGGTCGCATGTCGCGCAACACCCTTACTTCCCCACCAACTGCTTAACTTGGTTTTGTTTGTTTCTGCGTTCTCCTATACATTTTGAAATGTCCTTTTGCTTATTTCAAAATTATATGTTCCGTTAGTCCCTTAGCCAAAGAGCGCGAAATTCAAGGTCCAAAAATTTGACCGTTAACAAGAGATCACTCATAATCTCTTGTCGTCAAACGTTTAGGGTGAAGTTCAGCTGGACCTTTACTCCTTTCCTTTTGTTTTGAGTGTGGGGATTTTGAGGGTTTGCACTCATCTTACGTCGTCCTTTGCTCGTCAGAGCAGTTTTCAATTGACTGTCAAAAAACCAAAAACTATAGTAATCACATAACAAAGGTTGACATCATCATCAGCCAAAGAGCACTCGAAGTAAAAACAAGCAAACCATCAAAAACACGGGAAAACGCAGGCGATCAAGTCGCGATTGGTTTTTGTTTTGCGTGTGATTTGTTAGGAGGATGGCGTGAGTTATATTAACCAATTACAGACCCAATTAATGCAAAAACCAAAAAAATCTCGAATTGTCTCTGTCATTCATTTGTAAATCGCTCAAACAACCCTCTTTGTATGACTATTATCCTGCGAAATATTCCCCATAATGCAGCTAGAATAACCTCAAATTGCCTTATTTGTTCGTTGGTTACTCTTGCCAAAATTCAGACGTTCAAAGTGATTGAATTTAGCCTTCGAAATTAAACTAAAACCAAGTTTCTATGATTCCGTGTAGTAAATCAGTAGAGTTTATTTTTCACGGACGCAAATATGTCTTGGGGCCCGACTCAGAGTCATTTTAGCCGCTGAGCGAGGGTTAAACAGTCTCTTAGAAGGATCCGAAACATATTTCTGCTTTAGCAACATGATTATCAGTTCAAAGGTCACCGGGAAAATAAAAACTGAAACAAATAACAACAAAAGTAGTCTGAAAAATTGCGCGAGCCTTCGTAGGATGGACTGATAGTTTCCGGAGTTAGAGCTTTGGTTCCTAGCCAGATTTCCTGCCCAGGTTTTTCCCAACGGGTTTTTCGGGCAGGTTTTTTTCCGGCCTCTGTTTTAATCGCTCCGATCCTCCATTGTTAACGGTTGTTCAGCTCCGTCTTCCACACGAATCCAACAGTTTTCGTTTTCTGTTTTTTACATGTGTCTCTAACTTAGGCTGTTTTAAATAAGTTGCGCTTTCAGCGTTTCGACTTCATGATTCGTAGCTAGATCGGCACCGGTGCTCTTAGCTATAGACTGCGCGAATATTGTTATTTGCTCTAGCTCAGTTAACCTTTATTGGCAGTTTTTTTTAGCCTAATTGATAGGGGCATTGGGGTCTATTAGAAACCGCAGAAAAACAACATCCAAAACCGCCAAACCACAAAACCGACTGACCGCATGCAATTTTTTTATTATTGCAAAAAATCTGAGTGGATTCCGAGTGAAGAAATCTCGAATGGATAGTAAATTTGGCCTGGCTTCTGTGTGCCTATTTATAGAAATTTATACTGGGGATTGTTTCGTTAGCCGTCGCCCGGCCCTACCCACGGTGTTCATGTTTGGACAACTTGGTATTTCAGTTTCAACAATTAAGTTAATAATCTATCGAGCCAAAAATAAGTCGTTTCCGTTGACTTACGTTCTCTTTTCGTCCTCTTTTGTTAATTTTCGTGTCAAGTGCGGCTTTGACTAACGTCAGGAGCTCATTATGGAATCGTATTAATTCAATTCAATTCAATTCAATTCAATTCAATTCAATTCAATTCAATTCAATTTCAATTTTATTTGTTAGCAATACAATATTATCACAGTCCTAGGTGACCCGCAATTAGCAAGCTATTCTAGGCGGGCCACCCTTCTAAAACAAGTGCTGTCTCTGCTAAGGATCACATACCGATACAATTAAACAAAGATAATCATTAATAAAAATACAATTGTTAAATAAAATAAAATAAAATTAAGTCCGTTGAATAATTAAATAATCAATTGCAAAGTTATCAAGATATATAATACAATTGAAACAAGACTTAAACGAAGAGTTACTTTATCAAGAGATATTTACAAATTTCTGAGCAGCGTATATCAACATTCATCTCCTCATTTTCCAAAAGTTTTAACAGGCGATTTTTAAGTTCACGCTTAAACGGGGTTCTGTTTTTAATACGAAGTTCTTTTGGGATGCTATTCCACAATCTTACACCTATTCTAGCAAAAGAAAATAAAAGTTGGTTAGTTCTAGACGCTTTAACGTACAGATTAGCCGTTGCTGAGAATCTTGTGACGTCGGAGTGGATAAAGAGCATAGAAATATTAGACGGGGCACGGTGATTATCAATGTCATGCATCAAAGAGGAAACCAAATGAGAATAGAGCATAGTTATTGGTAAGATTCTGGAGTTAACAAATAGCGGGGCACTATGAGATTTGCTATCCGCAAAATACATTAGTCGTAGAGCACGTTTTTGTAAAATGAGAACCTTATTTAAATGAGTGTTAGCAGCTTGTCCCCAGGCAATAAGACCATATGAGATATAGGGTTCAATTAAGGAGCGGTAGATGTTAAGAAGTGTGGCAAATGGGACAAGATGTCTTAACCTGGCAATTATACCAATTCCTTTACTAACTTTAGATGAGATGAGATGAGATGAGATGAGATGATTAAATATATGCATTAAAGAAATTTTCATATCCAAACCGACTCCCAATCAACAATTGTGCACAAAAACTACGTCTTTCCTACGTCTTTCATTTCCCATGCATCGTTTTATCTTTAACGCTCTTTAAGTTTGGAGACAGTATTGCTACAAATGGCAGCCCCGCGCAACAGTGCTTCAGCACTGAGCAAGTAATCTCTAGCTAAATAATTAACTACCAGAAGTGATTAACATGTAACTTCTCTCAATAATATGCATACATTATAAAGCAAACACTATCTACAACATCTTTGCAATATCCCGCAAACAGGTAATGGGAATACTCAAACTTATCAGGCAGTAGCTGTTATCTTGATCTAACACCAAATTCTTATAACTAATCGGAATGTAGGAAGGTAAGGAGCTTAAGTGGACGTGGTAATCTGGACTTTTCCTAACTCTCCGCTGAGAAATATAACGAGAGAGCTCAATCACAACCACAACTCAGATCAGAATCGACGCTGTTATTCTTTCCAGAGCGTGAACGAATCTTTGAAACTACCGAAGAAAAATTGGGGCGGTGTTTCTGTTTTCCTATTGTTTCTTCCGGTCATAAAGCGAATGACGTACTCCGGAAGCTATTCAGTAGGTTCATAAGGAGAACTAGAGAATATAGATTACAAAAAGATTCGAAAAAAAAAAAGATCGCTGGAATAGGGGTATGTAAGGGAGATAAGTAAGTTCTCTCAGTCTGGTGTGTAAGGGAGATAAGTTCTCTCAGTTTATGTCTTCTTGGGTAAAGATATTGAGTTAAAAAAAAAAAAAAACAAACAAAATTGAAAACACTCGACTTGATTGCCTTGCTTAATCAAAACTACTGCCATAAGCCATAAAATTGCTCGCCGAGTGCCCGCTCATACCGTCAGAGAAAGGTAAAAACTCCCTTCACCACCCACCCCATCCTACCAAAATTACCTTGCACGAACAGTGATCACGACTCGCGAGCCTTGTACTTACAGGGAAATGCAATGCAGCATTCCACTGAAAAAAAGAAAAAAAAAAACGGTATGTTGATCGAGCACTGGTAACGTGGGACACAAATATCCATCATGAAAATTTACTTCATTTAAGAGAAAGCGAAAGAGTTCGCAATGAAACGTGCTCTTTCATTAATTGTTTAGCTTCAACTTCAACTCGTGAGGTTAACGCTTATTGTTGAATTTTTCTTGTTCCGCACGGAATTTCCCTGTAAGAATTTTTCGTTCGAGGAAAGGGAGAAAATAGAGAGTATTTTGTTGGGGAACAATAACGAACAAGCAAGTGTTTTTCTTTTATGCAAAATCACTTGATTTGCGAGTGAGGCTTCGGCATTCTCTGATCATCATTGCGTGAAATATTGTGAGATCTCGACAAGGAAGTCTGCGGTTTACGATCGTGTGCAGTCTTCATTAATCTAATTCAAATATCCCTGCAGAGCAAACCCGGCCTAAAATCGTCTTTCCTTCTGGCCGAAAGATCAATGGAACGAGACGATTTTGAAAGTCTTTTTTTTTTCCCGTGTCTTAACCAGGTATATATTTTGATCCGATAGTTTGTAAGACGTGTTATTTTCATTTTGATTTCATTTTGATTTCATGTTGGCTACTTCCGGCTTAAGTAAGACTTCCGTTGATATCAACGCTTGTTGAGAGTGAGTAAGCAAATGAAAATGATGAGGGTTATAGAAAATGGAAGTTAAAGCTTGCAGTTCTTACCGAAGAAGGCGACAAAAACAATTCATTTTGAAATGTTTACAAAAACCGGAAATACGTCTCTTTGTTTTATTCCGTCGAGACCGTGTATTTCCGGTTAATAGTTGCATTGCGCGCGCACTAATTGAACGTGATCAGCTTTTGACAACATTGTTGGACAATTCTTCCGAGCCATCTCGTGCCTGTGACGGCGGAATGATCGGGCCGATCCGCGAAAACTTTACTGATGCAGTGGGCTTGACATGCCGTCAAACGACGTGATACTTTTGGGGTACCGACCACGCAGCGACATACAAGCATCGGCGAATATACGACGGGCAGTTAGTGAAGATTGTCTTCTCGAATCCCGAGGAGACGGTGGAAGACCTGGTTTTTCAATGCTTAAATTAAGTAAGACAAGGATTTCTGTTGGAGACAGTGTCACTGTGTATTGGGATATCAGAGAGCAGTGTGGAGCTAATGACTGGATCGGTCTCTTTGATTTAGGTAAGCTCTATTTTCATCTGCTTCACGGGATTCATATCACGTTGCACCATTGCATACACCCGGTTTTATCGATCAAAAATACAGTGTTTATGAGCAAATGTTTTTTTTTCTTTTCGTTGCACCCTAGCTTTTGCTTCATCAAACGTGCTTCAGTATAAAGAGATAAGGGTCGCCTTTGGACAGGCGTTGAATTATAAAATCTATCGTTACATCTCGAAAGTTAATTTCTTCAGCACACAATTAAACACAGGGGCGATCGATCGATCGATCGATCGATTCCTCACAAATAATATTGTTGCTAGCTAAAGATGCGTAATCATCGAGGGAATACTCTGTCAGCTGAAAGGAGATTGTGTACCGTGTTATGTCGACCCGACAGTTCTACAGTGTGGTTTCGTTCCGGGTGTAAGTACAGATAAGGCATTACGAGACAGAAAGTACAGTTGGACTATATGGAAATTCTTTTATAATTGGTTTGAAACTTACATCTTGTTTACGTCTTGGCAGTTGTAGCATTGCGAAAACTAACCACACTATTCTGGTAGAGGGATTACTTTGTCAGAAAGTACTAAAATGTAATGCGTGTCGATAAGTTCTGTTGCGTCCAACGATCTTAAATAGGCGAAATTCTGAAGGCAGGTGGGTAGAAAATCACAATAACCATTTTAAATGAGAAAGCGGTAGCAATACCTTGTGATAATATGCTAATCGAGTTTCACTATTAAAGTTATATTGTATACATTCTCGTGTCAAAATTATTTTGCAATAGTCTAAGTTAATGTGCTGTTTCATTTATACTTCACTGTAATGCTAGACTTCAAAGTGCGAACTGTAAGTTACGTGCAATTTACGATTACTTGTAATATTCTATTTTCATTTGAAACGCATTTTATTGGCTTACTTCTCCTCGAGGTTGGTGGCTTTCATATTAAACTTATAGCCGCGAAGTTTGAAGTAAATGCACATCTGGTCAAATTATCACACCGGGTAGAAGTTATTTGAGAGGAAGCCTTGAAATTTTCGCCGAACTTAGTAGTCGAAGTACTTTTGGAGAAGCCTTATTTTTATCACAGCTGGAACAAACTGTAATGTGTGCAGAGTTCTGAAACTATGTGTGGCAGATTGTTCATTAATTTTGTGGATATAATGAGTGGCAGGTTACCTATTCACAAGAGCAAATATAGGGAATTGCTTTGATCTTAAAGAAGAATTAAACACATGGAAATAGTGTAACCATTAATATTGTTTACTTTGTTTATAAGAAGTCACTTGATGATGCCATTGTGCTAAAAAGCGCGCTTTTCAATTACAGATGCCTCATTTGCTATGTTTTTGTCAACAGCGAATTTTTTAGGAGTGCTTTGAATTGAGAACAAGAATGTTGTCGTTGATAATTAGGCCTACTTACGCCAAAAGGTATCTGATTGAAGAAATCTGATTTAGTGAAAGGTGAACAGTTAAACATTTAAAAACCACATCCTCTAAAAAGCAAAACAATTAATTTATCATTTTAATTCAGGAAAAATACTAACATTTCTAAAGGTGTTTGACAAGCACTGTTTCTGAAGAGTTCTTCATTGTGTTGATTATTATTTAAAAACTGGTCAATGTGGATTTTATTGTAGAAGAGAAAAGTAATCCTTCTGTTTTGTAATCTTGTTTATTGTTCCTAGATTTGTAGATATGTGAAAGTTCAACAATCTACTTCTGATTCTTCTATTATCAATGGCCATTCATTGTACAGTTGGCCATGTGTTCTTTGGATTTTAATAGATTATGGGGATATAATTCCTGCACAAAGAAAATTTAAGCACAAATTGAACATAAATATATACATAGTTGACAATTATTGTTCTCAAAGTCATTAAAATAGGTAACTTCAGCTCGTAAGATATTTATTCCTGAATAAAAATTTTAGCAGTTGAATGTTCCCTGTGTTAGGTTTTAATGAATGTTTGTGTTTCAACATTTATCTAGTTCTTGAATGTATACCTGTGTCATAACATGCTATAACTTGATTTTTTTTAATTTTCTGCATATTGCAAGGAAAAAAATCTTTCCTCATGAAACTTTAAAATTTTACATGTGAGTATAGAACATTATGTTTTTTGTCAAATATCATTAAATTTTTGAACAATTGTTTTGAATTAATTTAGGTCAGCTGGATATGTTTCAAAAGGCATCTTTGATTGCATTATAATTTTAGGGTTTCAGACTAGTGTCTAAACAATGGCCTATAGTCTAAATAAAAAACTAAGGAGAATACTCCATAAACAGTTTGAATTTCCTCAAGAGATTTTTTTCCACAAATTGATTTAAAATCAAATGTCTTACCTCATTAAAATTGTAATACTGTTTCTATACATCTAAGAATAACTCATACAGCAAATTCTCCATTATTGAAAGGTGATTCAACACAACATGTACCTTGAGAGAATGCTTGTAATTTTTTTGAGCATTTAATTTGGTTTGACTTATTAAAAAGTCTGTAAGAAGCTCCTTCTAAATTTCTTTTTAAGATGTTTATTAAAACAAAAAATAGATTGAGCCAGATTAAGTAATAAAAATAACTCCCATGAAATCTGAGGAAGTTTCATTTTATTCTTGTGACAAAGTGACATTGTTTGACTATCTGAGTGCAAGAAATCACTATTTAAAATCTTCACCCTCTTAAAGTGAATTAATTATTTCCAAATTTCAATAAACATCAAAAAATTTTGCCAATATATCTTTGAGTGCTTTCCCTACTGTTGTGGTAATGAATTGATGATATTTTTTCACCCACAAAAAAAAAAAAAGTTAATTGGCGGCAGATTGTGCATGTTCATAAATTTATTGTGTTTTGGAGGTTAACAAAAGATATTGTAGTAGTAATAAACATAAAAATGAACCTTGATTGCTTCTATTTTTATGGTTCACGCAAAAAATCAATGAATCTCATTGAAAGAAATCAAGATTGTATGATTAACTCTCACCAGGTTGGTAGATTTTTGTGAATGGATTTGATGAAATCAATGAAATGATAAAGTGCTTAATGGACAGTTCTTCTTACGTAAGTTTGTAACTATGTTTGGCTTTCATGACATCAAACTTTGTTATTTTTAAACCTTCCAAGGACAATGATATGCACGGTCACGTTAGTAAAATAAAAGAACTGTGAATTTCAAAAATATGTGTGGAATGTTTATTGTGTTATAACCAACCATACTGAGAATAAAAAAAACACAAAACCACAGAAGCCTCTTGAGCCACTCTGGCTAGTCATGCAATCAAGGAATACCACTGGCTGTTTTTGATACACAGTTCATCCTATCGCACAATCACAGACCTTGTGTTCTTTAACTGTACAAGAAGAAATTGAGCTTTGTCAAATTGATTAGTAAAGTGGCTTGAAAATCACCCACCTATTTTCTAACAATTGAGTTACTGTAGTGAATATAGCAGGCTAATTAAATCTGCATGTTCGTCCATTAAATATTGGTTTTTATAATAACAGACAAGTGATGAATTTTGTATGATATCCATGAGGATGCTTAATTCTGCCATGTACGTGATTTCTGTGTGACTGTGTAGTGATGCATTTTTTATCATATTGATCACTGACTGTTTTGTGTGGACTGAGGTAAAATATATTTTTGTTTTGGGCCTGCAGGGCAATTTGCATACAAGTGGCTTCTTAATCCATGTGAAACCTTCACAGAAGCTTTTTAGAAATGTTTTTAAAATTCTTAAGAGGATCTGTTTGCTTGAGAGGGTCTTGACTTGGAAGGAAATGTAGCTTTTTCAGTTCCTGAAATAAGGAAAATACTTTCTGAATCACCAACAGAACTTTCCTTACTTCTTTTCCAACTGGAAACTATCTGATTAATTCGACCACAACACGCTATCACACTGGGATATCAAAATATTTGTCTAAAACTCCTTAATTAATTGCACACATTCTATTCATTTACTTTTTGGCGCATAAGCCTTCACATTGTTGCTTGAAAAATAAAAACAAAAACTACAGAAAAGAGCTTTTTTAATGACTAGACTGTTCTTTTCTTTCTTTTCCTTCAGTTTCTTTATTTTCCAACGAAAATCTGTTGGAAATTGGGGATTTTTAATGAATCATTAAGTCCCCAAAGTCTCATTCCCTTCAAGGAGATGTGTGCTGGAGAAACCAAACACCTCTTACTCCTTTACTCCTCCTCCACCATTAAGCCCCTTGTGCTCCTGTTAAATGTATGGACTATGAGAATGGGTACTTATTCAAGGCCGGGTGCATATTAAGTTTTCACCATTTTTAACAATTATTACATCTATTTTACAACAAAAAAGTAATTACCAATGATGAAACATGAAGATCTACCATAAATGGTGAATTTAGAGATTGCATGGAAGCCAGAAAAGAAATGATAATCAATACTTGTCTTAATTACTTCAGTTTTTTTTAAGGGGGGGGGGGGAGGTCCAGAATGCTATTTCTGTGGCTCCTGACTTTTCCAAACAGATAGCTATCAGCTCAGCTGTTATGTCAAATGGCCAGGTTGCTAAGCAAGAGTCCAAATTTTGACATCATAATTGAATTTTAAGCACATTTGAAGACATATTTGGCCTCTGGCAGATCATGCATGTAGCTCTGACCATCAAGACCTTTTAACTATTAAATTCATTGTCAGCTTTGTGAGGTATTAAAAAAAAATTATTGTCTCATTGAATTTCAGATGGCCCCACATCACTGTCAAACTATTTGGACTCTAAGCAAAGAGGAGTAACTGGAGCCAAGAGAGGAGCTATAAAATGGGCCATAAACAGAGATGTAACACTTGGAGAAGGTACATTGCATTATACATGAACAAAACATGAATGTGCAATTTAACATTTTGTGTAATGATTGCTGTTTCATCTCCTCATGACTTTTCTTATGATCTCTTTACATTATATGTACTTATTGACTAAATAGGGAGACTGAATAGGAAAATATTTTTCTTGAGGCCATGATGTTCAGGCCGATTGCAGCAACGTGTGGGTGCCAAGAACAATTATTTTCCTGTCCAGCCTGAACTAATTCAGGCAATAAGCATTTTTTTGTATGACTGCTGCTCTGGCTTTTTCTTTCTTTCTACTTTTGGCGAGGCTGTATGGCTTTTTCTGGCCCCACTCATACCATTGCGCCCATGGGGATTTTTTTCAGTATGCATGCAATGTGCAATATGCATGCAATAATACGGATATTGACTATGACTATGTGACCCAGCACCACAAACTACATGACTGTATGTTAATTTGTGAAGTTTACTTTAATCTGTTACTTACAGCTGCATATTATCTTGTGTCAAGGTTAACGATTACTACACTTTATCTTTATTCCCCAGTGGAAAACAAGTGCATTTTCAAGTACATACAAGGCAGCACTAGCTCAGTGAAGGCCATCAGTCCTACAATTTATATTTTCAACCCTTATGCTGCAGTAAGTGACAAGGAAAATTTTCAGTTTGAAATCATGGGTGAAATGTACAAGAAACTAAACATGACTAGCTATAATTCTGGTGTTATGTTTTTTTCCAAAGCTTGCTTCACCTCATGGCAGGCCACGCCTTGGGTCTTTAGTACCAGAAGAGACCCTCTTGGAATTTTCTATTGCAGGTAAATACAATAAATTATGTATTTGTGATACTTGATAAGAAATATGCAATTAGTTATTTGCTATCAAATATTCAAACCCTGTATTTGCAAAGTTTTTAAGTTCAAGATCTGAGCTTTCTCTAAGAACAATGCCAATCTTTACTTTTGTTATATTAACCAGAAAAACTATAATAATGAAGGATTTAGTTAAGTATTAGGCTTCACCTCAGGAGACTTTTTCTTTTGTGGATTAAAGCAAGCACTCCTGAGGTGGAAAAATTCCGTGGGTCCACCTTCAGAGGTGGCATAGTGTTGGGAAATGCTGAAGGGGGCTAGTCCAGCACCAAGCCAAGCTTATGCTGCCTATAAAATTTCCTTAAACAATGTCTGTGTGGTTTGCTGGCACAAGAATACCTATTTGCAAAGTTTCCAGTGTCCAGAGCTTCTGCTATCCATTTGAGCCTCGATTCTGGATCCAAGATTCTCAATAGTTTCAAGATCGAGTTTCTACATAAGACTGTCAATTGTCATCATATGGTATTCATTTCATAATTTTTACTCATGGAGCCAGCCCTATAAATGTTACAGTGTCGTTGGTTATTGATGCATAATAGTGGACATTAACATGTATCAGCGTATCAACTCCATAGAACTGGATGAGCATGAGGGCATTTAAAAATATGTGAACTTCACAGAAACATTGTATATGAGCTTCCATGATCTATGCTGGTCTGGAATTAAACATTCCCTGGTTTTTCCTACAGGTTTACAGGCAAATGGCCTGAAGAAAAACATCTTTGGTAGGCCCAGCCCATATGTCAAGCTGTCAATCATGCCATCAAGAAGACATCTCAGGTCATGGAAACAACATCACGGACAGATTGCCAAGACATCATCAGAAACAAACACCATTAGTCCAAGATGGACTAACGAGGTTGGTATGCAGTTTGCAAGTTTGCAATTGCAATTCAAAGGTGGTTCTTGAGTTTGAAATACCCTTGTAAACCACCATCCTAAAAGTTTTACAGCTACTACTACCGGTTGTAGACATAAAGTTCGGTATGTCTTCATTTTTTGCTAACTTGTTGAGGAAGCTCAAAGAAACCATGAGGTGTATAAAGTACGGACTTCCTTGACTGGAAATACATATATATGTTGGCAACAAAATGGAGCGTCAGTAGCAAATAGGTAACATGATGTAATGAAAATAACAAAGCAAACAAAAACAGAACAAAGGAAAAATGAAATAAGGGAAAAAGGAGAATGGAGGGAAAGAAGGATATAAGAAAGAGGGTCTTTTTTCAACTTGCTTTTTCAAAGTTTTCAAAGTTTTTAATTTTGAATGTCTGAGCTGAGATTATTGATAAACAGAGGACCTTGGTACTGAAATGAAAAGAGCCTCAAGGTTCTTTACTGGGGGACGAAAAAAGAACTTGCTTATCTAATATTATAGCTATGAATCTGGTTCCTCTATAGTTTTTCTCCGTGTACTGTACCATGATTTTTGTATCCTTTTCAGGAGTTTGTATTCTTGGGTGGTGCAGACGACCTGTTAGAAGTCGAAGTACGGAATAAGTTTTCTGGGACGCGGCCTGCCTTTAGCCGCTTCTTGGGGAAACTAACTGTTCCTCTGGTGGATCTTTTTGAATGCCAAAGAAATAGGTCTGTACTGCTATCTGTTACTACTGTTATTCATTTTGTTACCATTAAAGTAATGATTGGGCTAAATTGGTCGACTAACACAATATTCTCCAGCTCTATTCTAAGTTGATTTATGCATTAAAATTCAGATTGTAGTAAAAACGCGAAAGCTTTAAGAAGTTTCTACTCCTTAGATAAGCAGAAGTGAATGAATGAAAGGAGCATTTATTAGCAAACAATCGTGTGTTGAAATGACCCTCTACAACTAATTCCTAAATACTTGACGACTTTTATAGACTCGACAATCGTTACCGATCGAATGATTTTATTTCCCATTCAAATCATATCGAAAATTTTGCAACTCGAAACTCTTTACCCGCAAGTCAACTTAACTGAACTATACCTTTCGGAAATATCACAGATATTTACAGGTAATTTGATAATGGTATAAAACCGTTAATTCAAGTTAAAATCAATAACGTCTTGTACAAACAAAACTTATTAGTGGCAAAATGATACGTAACGTGACCGTTCGGGATGCGATTCTACATGGACTGGCTAAGGCTTCGTTCCCAACAAATCGTTCACATCGTCCTAATCGTCCCAATCGTCCCAGTCTACTCAAACTAGACAATTCGGCGATGATAGGAAAACAATCGTTAAGCGCAAACACAATTTTGTTCGGACGATTATGGTTGCTCCGATCGCTCCAGTTCGAGACAGTTTTACCAGGTTTGTCTTTAATTATATAGTCTATTGAACATTAGTTGGCACGATCGGAAAGTACGTTTGGATTTTGTTTACTTTACACATGTAGGTCAAGTTATATATCTATGCTTTTTTACCCTTGACAGGCCAGAAGAGGTCACTAAATCACTTGGTAGAAGGACACCTGCAGACAGAGTACAGGGCACAATTACACTCACCATCACTATTATTGAACCATCTAATAATTCAGGTAATTACTCTGAAATGGCATGGACACAAATGTATGTATCCTCATGTTTGAAAATTCCTATTCAAAATTTTTTACCCCAGAATCTCACGGTGGGTGAATTTTCATAATAATGGAATGGAAACGGCATTTATGAAACGACAGGCTGACTTCCAATTAAAGAACGTTGTGTTGAATTATCATGATAGAAACATGCAAACGAAACTTTGACTGAAAACTCGATGACGTATAGTAGGTCTCTCGGTGGATTTTGTCCTTGTATTGCTGAATCCTGGGCCAACAGGGGCCCAAGATCATATAGGTATATAGGCCCCCGATCAGGACCCCTCTGAATAACAGCCATTTAGCCGAGAGAGCCACCCTGGCTTAATAAAGTTTACCTTACAGTTACATGTTTTCTTTTCATGGAGTGATTATTTAGCCGACCTTAACCCTTTTTTTTTTCTTTTTTCTTTCATTTTATCTAGATGCTGTTTCTGCCGAACAGGAAAATGTTCCACCAAACGCAGCCTCTAACGGTGAATCCAATGGAAGCCTTCAGCAAAATAACTTAAGATGCACGTTATCAAACCCATCTCTCACGTCGTCCGCACCTAACATTCTACAGCCTCTTACTTTGAACTCCAGCAATGGTCTGCTGGAGACTATCTTCCCCGTGGACCAAGCAGCATCTCCTGTTTCTCCTCGGGGTGCTGTTGAACAGGAGAATAACTTTGGTGATGCTGCTCGAAGGAGATTGGCACTACAGTCGAGACCATTCTCCGAGATGTACGCTGAGGAGTTTGTTCCCTTAGATGATAGTGACGTCACAAGAAGCCCTCAAGGAACAACCAGTGAGGGTGCTTCTAGTGGGAGTGACTTGGCGGAGGCAGAAACTCTAGATGCCAACAGGGCCTCTGGTGGCTTAGGAAATTCTGATGAAGTGGTATCTCCGGATGATACGATTGATCAAGGTCAAGTTTCTCGTGATGGACTAGATGACGTGGATGCTGCGTCAGGCCAGGAGGGTGCAACAGAACTAACCTCACTAGAGAGTAGTCAAGGTGTGGAGCACCAGCCTATGGAAATCCCAGAAGAAGGTAATGAAGCCAACACATCTGAGGTGGAGATGGCTTTCTCTGCTGCAGGACAAAGACCCAGTATTGGAGGTAGTATCGGAAGTATTGAGTTGACAGACGACTCACCACTGAGGATCTTGGAAGAGAGTGAGAGAGTTCGCGAGGAGAGTATCGCTCTTTCAACTGAAAATCTTCTACAAGATGCAACTATTGAATCAGATGACGAACTTGAACAAATGGATACTACCGACGAGACTGTTGTTGTTGGAACAGAACAGGACAGTTCACATAATTCAGACTTTTCTATGGAAGATGTGTTGACAAGTGGGAACACAACAGAGTCAGCTTTGATTGAAAATAGCTCTGTAGAAAATCAAATGGCTGTTCGAGAAACTGATTTGCTAGAAGATGCCAATAGTGTTCTCATAGATGAGGAGATAGATGATCACGTATTGTCACCACCGCAGGACATTGAAGGGTCCAGCGCATCATCACGTGTGGCTGAGTGCTCGCCCGGCCCTTCAGTAGCCGCGGTGTTGAATGAAGCAGAGTCAGCTGCTTCTGAAGAAAACCTTCAGCTGCAGGCAGAAGGCTCCGATATCAACCGCGAATCAACATCTTCACCTTTGAGGCAACGGGATCGTAGCCAAAGGGACGTGCCCATGTCTCTTCTCGAGTACGTAGAAGAAATATTTTCAAATGAAGCCGAAGAAGAGAGTAATGACAGTGCAATGATAATTGAGACTGCTGGGGAAAGTAGGCAAATTAGCCCGTCACTGACCTCTTCGGCTTCCGAGTCAACTCAGCCATCTGTTGAGGACACGGTATCTTCCGGTTCAGAGTCTTCTACCTCAGCGATATCGTCAGTAACCCTTCCGGTGGAGGCTTCCGAACCTGTGTGCTTGAATGCCACCTCACTAGAGTCTGCGTCAGCTTCGGAAATGTTAGTGGATTCACCCCCAGAGGCGCTGATGCTCAACAATGAAGGGTCTGACAGGGATAGCGCTGTCCCACAAAGGCCCCCTCGGAGTAAGAGACTGTCGCGATCCAGTAGCGATCCAAGAAGTGCGCACTCAAGACAGGTTGCAGAGAGGGCACGCCTCGCTGCAAGAGCCAACCAAGGAGAGAATTCTCTGAGGCCTTCTCGACCGTCATTGGTTCGACGAGTCACAGAGCCAACTGCACTTTCAAGTGTGGTTGTTAATACTGAAGTTGAGCAGACAAACACAAGTGTATTGTCACTATCTAATACAACAACAGTAGTCACTCCAGTGTTAGAAGCGACCTCAGGTGTCGAGGTATCTCCCAGTGTGTCACCCCCAGTCGTAGTGGCGGTGCCATTATCTCTACCTCCATTGCGCAGTTCGTCGTCCTCTTCAAACAACGGAACCTCCCCTGTCGTTGTAGCAGATGTTGTTGCTGAAACCCCAGCTTTGGTTACTCCGTTACCGTCTCCAGATTCAGTCTTGGAGGGAAATACGGCGACCACTGTTGTTGCAGTTAGTTCTAACACAAGAGATGGAGTGGAATCTTCAACATCTAGAGAGTTATCAAGCGAGCGCGTCCTCTCTCTAATGAACGAAAGCAGGCAGCCTTCATCTGCTCCATCAACATTACAAAGGGGCAGCGTTTCTGCTGTTGCCTCCATATTGCCTGATGAACCACAAGCTCATCGCAGAACGAATTCATCCTCGGTAGTTTACGCAACACCAGTTACAGAGCAAAGTAGAAATTTGCCTAGTGAGTCTAGCGCAAGCTTTCCCAGGCAGAGTAGTTCGGCAAGAGTCACACCACTGTCAGGAAATCGAAGACGCAGCAGCGGTAGTGGAGGTGGGTATACCGTAACGAGGGACATCTCCGAAGAGTCGCAGTCTTTACCGCGTAGCTACGGTCATAGTGTTTCGGATTCAGTTTCTTCTGTTGTAGCCACCGCTAGTGCCTCATCAAACTCAGAACAGCCCAGGTCTCGTGCAACTGAGAGAGTGAATCCTGAGACCACTGTTAGTGCCATGTCTTCACTTGAGTCCAGTAGCAGATCTACCAGTGCTGTAAGTCAGTCCAGGGAAACCATACAATCCATTCTCGCAGTTTATATTGCTAATTCAGCGCAGATTTCACAAGGGAGACCACCTGCTGTAAGCCAACCTGCGGCATCCACATCTTCTGTTACAGACGTAGACTTGGGTGAGAGGCCGACGCAAGCCAATCGTCACAGCAGTAATCGCCGAAGCTCTGGCAGGAGACAACAAGGAAATTCGGTGCATGTGTCCATACAGGACCAACAGCAAACAAGGGAGCAGCAGGGTCGGACTGGGCAGCAAGCCCCTGATGAGGAGGAACCTCTTCCTTCAAGTAAGACACTCGAGCTAAGTGGCCCATACAGCTAGAGATTAGATTTTGTTTTACCTTCTGTGTGGACCGTTGAACTAAGACAATTTTTGTTTGTTAGATTGGGAGAGAGGTGTGGATTCTCATGGAAGAGTTTATTACATTGACCACGTTAACAGAACAACTACTTGGAACAGACCACGTAGAAGTGAGTGTTCTTTACTTATATTTCTTTGGGTATTCGAGCAATTATTGTTGAGAGTTGAAAGTGATTCAAAATTACATTGGTTTTGCGTTGCATCACTTTGTGGTTGGTCCAGAAGAATTGCACCGCTTTCTCAACCAATCAGATGCAAAACTTAAACCAAGTCTGAATTGGTCAAACATGTTTTCCGCGCTTCGCGAAACTTGTTTGCCTCAACAATTAATTCTCATTAGCTCTTAGTATTATTGTCCTTTCTAGCGACTGGCTGTTCTGATAACCATTGTTTTGGTTTTGTATTTTTATTATTCGAAAACCGCTCTGTTAATGTCCAAATTCATCCAAAGCGTTTTGCGAAGAAATATAGTTGTTTGTATTTTATACGCGGGCATTCGAAGTTTACTGAGCGAAGGAGGGAGGAGGAGAGAGGGGGAGGGAGGGGGAGAGAGGGGGAGGGAGGGGGGTAATCTGTTCCGGTCAAGCATACCGTTCAGGAGAACTGACAGTTTTCTTATTGGCGTTATCCTGCAAAACCTTGGCCGGGATAAGGTTGTGTAAGATACATGTAATTATTGGCCTAAAAATCTTTTTTTATTATTATTTTTTAGATTCACCAAGAAGTGAATCAAACATGAATGACATGAACACGCATTGGCAAAGCTTGGATAGAAGGTGAAATTCACTGGTTTTCTTGGTGTGCTCAATTCAAGGTTCCCTCAGTTGTTGTTGTCAATCATGTGATTCATTTACACATGAAAAGAACTTTGAACTGTTGTCGAATTATTCGAATATTAAACTTTTTTAAATTCAATTCAGCCTGTTGTATCAAGCGGAAACGGAATAAATTCCTTACACTTCCGGTTGCCTTGATAAACATTCAGCTAATCTTATCGAAAGGTGGTGTTTGACTTTAAATTGCTCTCCTTTCTGTCAGATATCAAAGCTTTCGCCGCACGCTTCGTGGTCGTAGCAGCCGTCATTCACGGCCACCTTTACCTATAGACAACAACAGAGCGAGTCAAACAACAGGTGAGTCGAGCGCCAATACCAGCTCGGAAACTGGTGCAGCTTCCACGAGACCTGCACAGCCACCTGCAACGCCGTCCCCTTCGTCACCAATGCCTTCTTCCTCGACAGAATCACCTTCCTCCACGCCGCCCTCTTCGTCTGCTCGCTCCTCCACCCCTTTACCGTCGACCTCATCCACTCCAAATTCGACACCGTCTACTTCCACGCCGTCGACGTCTTCTGCGCCGTCCAGTTCGTCGGCGTCTTCAAGAAGCACTAATTATGTTCAAATTCCTGCGGTGAAGTTCCTCACGAGACATGATTTGATAGACTTTCTCAAGAGTAAAGGAGTATGTACATGTATTTAGTATGCTGAGTTGTGTTACCGGTTCTTTTAAGAAGCCATAATATACCGTAATAGTTATATCAGGTGTAGAACCCGCGATGCACCATACTATTTCATGTGTATTACGATGGAGACGAGACAAATGGTGAGCGACTTCCTTCGTCGCTCGACACGGGCGCGCTGGGCCTCACACTTTCACGCCAATCGTGACGATTTTGTTTTAAAATTTTTCTCGGATCACATCCAGCTATCAAAAGTGTTTAAATCCTCCCTACTTTAGCCAGCAATGAGGCGAGATAAATCGGGCCTTGTCGTGATCTTAGTGATGGGTGTCTGAAATCGCCCTAAGAGGAATGGTAGCGTAGATAATCGTCGATTTCTCTCATATCCGCGAGATGGCCTATCGTATGAATTCGCCCTCGAGTGCTGTTTTACTGTCTCTGTATAAACTCTTTGTGTGATAGGAAGTGTTAAATTAGAATTTCTAGTATCGTTTGCGGTGAACGTAATGAAATAGCATCTCACAACAGAAATAGAGCATTTATATGGACATTAGTACGGTAGAAATATCATCCAGTTATCGTCATGTGAGATTTGCGTCTTTGTTTTTCAGCTTGCGGGCCATTACTATTTCCAGAGCCAGATGTTAAAGCTAATAGTTTCAAAGATCAGAAGCGAACCAAGTCAGTTTGAGAGGTAATTAATTTACCAAAATTTATATAATTATAAATGTTTAGCCAAATTTGTCTCCTCCCAGTCACTTTTGTATATTTGATTTTCATTCCAAAACAATTGTGTTTCTTTCTTTCAAGATATCGTCACCAAGTCGAGCTTGTCAGGTTTTTGAATCAGTTTGCTGATCCTCAGATGGACATGCCTCCCGGCTGGGATAAAAAAGTCGATCAGGCTGGACGGGTATGTGTAAGGAGAGTATTTTTAACGCTTAAATCGAATGGGAGATACGGTAGCGTAGTGGTTATCGCACAGGATTCTGGATCGAAGGGTTTGGGTTCCAGTCCTCGGGTCACTGTATTATATTCTTTACAACATTTTGCCTCTTTCCACCGAGGGCCTATTTGTTTCAGGGAAGGATAAATCGCTACCCAGTGGATAAGTGTTAACAAAGCGTATTTCACTGTCCGACGGATAGAAACGTGTCCTGTGGATAGCGTTATCCTCCCTTTGAAAACCCGGGCCGTACATGGATACAAAAAGAACCTGATAGGGAAAATTAATTCATTTCAGGGGAAGTTACGTATGACTGATTAGACATCCATCCAGGAAAATAACAACTGCGGCGTCCGTTTCATGCTCAGAAATGCTGATAATTTGTAGTGGGGATGAAAATCTAGACTCGTTAAACGTGATCTCTTGTGAACACGTATTTGGAAGTCAGAAAATTGTAAACACTTTCCATTTCCTTTTGATAAGTCAAGTATGGTCAGTTAGAAAGAGGTTCACGCATTGTGAAAAAAGAAACAAAAACTCAAACCAAACATAGTTTGTCAATGCTATTTGCAGTTTATTTTTCTTGTGCTCAGTAACCTTTTTTGGCGAGTCACAATAACATTCTCAAAATATTCTGATAATTGAGTTTTCTTAATTTCACAATAGAGAAGTGACATGCATGTAGAAAGTATATTTTCAATTCGAAGTCGCCAATTATGATACATTGATATTAACGCTAGTGATAATAAGAATAGTGATAATACTGCTTAAGATAAGGATGATAATAACATTAATTCTAGCGTGGCCTTTGCTGTAAATTATCATAAAATTGTAAAGCTGATGAAACTAGAGATTTTGAAAGTTTTTTTGAGCATTTTGTTTCTCCTGTATTCAGCTTTATTTTATTGACCACAATTCACGGACTACAACTTTTATTGATCCGCGACTTCCCGTGGAAGAAACCCTGCCCAGGAGAAACCGCTCTGAAACTGAGGTATGCTGCTTTGTTGATGACATATTTAACCTTTCCTGTGGTATTTCGTTGGAGAAATATTAGCCATGGTTGTTACTGGTCTGGAAAGAGCCCGGGAATTACTAATTTTTTTCATAAACAGGAAGTAGTCAGGAAATTTCACTTTGAGTCAGGGAAAATTTATGACTTAAAAAGAAGTCAGGGAAAGTGTAATTTTTTATGAGTAAATATGAAGTCCTCATCTTGTCTTGACTCAGGTGGTGACACTTTCCCTTGGTCACTTTTGTACATTGTTTAGTGCAGTCGATGGATTCCCAACCAGCGAATCCTTTCTCTTTGTAATGCAAGTTCAAGTTGGTTTGCGAATGAAATCATACATTTTTTTTTCTTCTATTTTCGTTTTTCTTTAGCATTATAAATCATTCGGTGTAATTCACGGACATGAAAGGTGCTGGATTGGTAGAATATCGGTAAATGAAACTGAACGACGGGCTGATTTTGGGTTTCCAAGAAAATCAATCTTTTTTTCTGAGTCATCTTTGAGGAACTATCAGTTCTTGTACACTGAATGTGTGTTGCTTAAAGCATACATTTATAAGTGGGAAAGATAGCTGTGAGAGCAGTTTGGAGGCCATTATCAGGACTCGTTTGTGAAATTCAGTTTGTCAGGAAAATTCACGATTGTCAGGAAAAAGTAAGTGAATTTTAAAACCATGTCAGCTTAAATCACGAAAAGAAATCGGCATCCTATTTTGACAACGTAATTGTTAGTTTATCAACAGTCAATCAACAACTGCTCTCACAAATTTATGATCGAAGACATTTCATTAACTACCTCATGTCAACATTGTGTTCCGTCTTCTTACAGCCTCGACGCGCACGCGTTCCTCCGCCCAGGCCTCCGCCACCAACAGCGCCAGCACGACAAAGCAGCCTTTCAACGCCAATGAGTAAGTAGTCATGTTGTTAAAGATCACGTGGTAAAATCACGTTATAAAAGTAGAATTTGGTGTCAGATCAAGACAAAAACTTCTACTTGATAAATTTGAGTATTCTCATTACCTGTTTGCGGGACATTGTAAAGATATTTTTTAGGGAGAAGTTTCTTGTTAATCCTGTGTGGGAGTGCAAATATTTGACCTTGTTTTTATCTGCAGTCATACCTGGTGACTTAATTTTGTTTTTCATTTACGTAGCTTACAACCAACAAGTTGTTGCATTCTTGTCCCAACCAAACATCGATGATATTCTCAAAACCAAGTACCAGGGATATGCTAGAAGCCCCACTCTAAAGTGAGTACTTTATGTAGGATGTCTCAATCATTCTTTGCCTTAATGGCTGTTTGGTGATAACTTAATGATATTTTTTTTTTCAGAGCTAATGTAAGAAAAGTACAGTCTGAGGGAGAGAGGGCCTTGACACGACTTTCCAACAATCTCGACTTCATAATGTTGCTTAGGTAATTTGATTTGAAAGTACACAGCAAATGATGAGGACATTAAGGTATTCCTAGAGATGGAGTCTGAAAATTATGTCGAGCGCAAAATATTTCTTATATAGATGAATGTTTATTTCCGACCGGATCGGAAAAATAGTACAAACTAATGGAGATATAAGCAAACACAGATAAAGATAATGAAAAGAGAAATAGATTCGAGCCCAGGTGAATAAAGGGTGGATAACGCTATCCAACCCTTGAATAACTGGGACCTGGTCAAAAAGGTACAAAATTATTCCCATAAACGTCCTCTATATTCATTGGAATTTAAAGAGCGATGCAGTACGTTAAGATACGCGCAGTGAAAGTTGTTTCGATGTTTGTGTCTTTTTTTCCCGTGGTACTCTACTTTTTCTAACCTTTGAAATTGGCTACATGGAGTTTCATCGATGCAGAGGACCAGCTTATAGCTTGCGTGGGGGTCTCTGGGTGGTTTGGTTCGGTTTTGTATCGTAACTGGGCCATTATATAAGGACCTTTCCACACCAAGGGGGTTTAAAGAGGTACTATGAAACTGTTAAAGCAACATAATGAAATGCAGATGACAGTTAGTTTAGCCTCTCAGCTTGTGTTTAGACTATTTCTTTGTTTATTAAATTACATGCCTTCTTAGAATTTTCCACTTACGTTATAGTGTGATGGAAGAGAGCATTGTCGCGTATGTCCCCCCAGATGTCGAACAAACATCTGAACCTACCCCCCAGCCTTCGTCTTCGCGTCACGTGCCTAGTCAGGCCACTCCCGGAACTCGGTCAAGAGCCAACACGGACAGTTCACTAAAAGGAGCAATCAGTGATTCCACTGCCAGTTCCAGTCCCGCTCCGTACAAACGTGACTTTGAGGCTAAAGTTCGCTCGTTTCATCGTCAGCTCTACCACAAGGGTTTTGGACAAGGACCCAATAAAGTCAAGTAAGTTATTTGGACAAGACTGGTACAGTCGAACCTCGATTATCCGGACTCGGTGGGACTAGGGTAAATAGTCCGGATAATCGAGAGTCCGGATAATCGAAAATATGAATATTAATGAGACAATGTAAACAAAAGAAATAAAGATAAAACATTTTTAATTCTAAAAGTTTGCTTCAACAGATCGCTTTCGCTTCGTAGACATATTGTCGTTTTGAGTTATGATCGTCTCGTGTGTTGACATAACCCACGCTCAGCTTAGCAAAAAATTCAGCTGAACGCATTAGAATACTTCTTGTCTCTTTTTGTGTCCGAGCGCTCGATCTTTCGACCGTGTAATGCGCTATTTTAAACACAATTTTCCTGACTTTTAACATAATTTCTGGATTTTTTTACCTCCTAAAGTTTTTAACATCTAAGGTCATTAATATTCATGAAAAAAACGGGACCAGAGAAAAAGTCCGGATAATCGAAAAGTCCGGTTAATCGATGTCCGGATAATCGAGGTTCGACTGTACACCATTTGCTGACAATTATTTGAACTCGGTAAACCTTTCTGAACAACATAAAGAGGAAAAAACATAGAAAATTTAATTGAACTCAATTCTCAATATTCAAAGCCTTGAAGCCCTAATATTAGGATGCATTTTGGCCATACTGATTTCTATAAATCCCCTATGGTATTCACAAGGATATTTATTGGCAAGGAAAAGCTTCTTAAGTGATCAATCATTTCCTTTATTATTCCTTCCTAATTCGAAATGCGCCAAGAGCTGCTTTGTGGGCTTGCCATGCCCTAAATCCAATTTACGGCCTAATTTTAAGAATTAAGTTAATTTACTAGTTTTAAAAATTGATATGTCCCCTTTTTTCCATGCAGATTAAGTATACGAAGGGACCATATTTTAGAGGACGCTTATGATCAAATCATGAAAGAGCCTGCCAGAGCGCTCCATAGGAACCGCTTGGAGATCCAGTTCGCTGGAGAGGAAGGGTAAGAACTTATCCTCACATTGTTTGCGGTGCAAACAACTGGAGTTGTACTTGTTTTATTGCGATTTTTTTGGTTTGCTTTGGTAGTTGTTATCAAGCAGTAGATGTGGTAATCTAATGTGGAAAGTGTTAGTTGCTAAATCGCGGGAGAAACTTGCAGCCAAAGTAATGATGAAAGGACTAACAAGTAATAAGCTTTTCTGGTTGAATTTTCGAGTATACACAAAGATTCCATGCCAGCTATTTTAGGGCAACTGAGCAACGTTATGCTGACAAAACTACGATGGACATCTGGCTTTGAAGAAATCGTTTCTAAGTGCAACATGTTAGAGAACTGAAGCATAGTAATCAATTGTTGTTATTGTTATTATTAATATGATTAAACCATTTACTTAGTGGTTGAGTGTCAGTTATTCACTATATTCTTGAATCATCTTTCTCTTGTGGAACAGGGCTCTTATAAGTATGTGGGATGCGGCAGGTTTTCTGTTTTGCATTCAAGACAAATCTTCTGCAACGCTACTTCATCATCATACAACCCCTGGTTCTTTTCAATGCTATAAAAAATTGTGCTATATCAGTAGCAATATGCAGTCTTAACTGCCTATTTTCTTTATTTTCCTATTCAGCTTGGATTATGGTGGACCAGCGAGGGAATTCTTTTTTCTTTTGTCCCGTCAAGTATTTAACCCATATTATGGTCTGTTTGAGTATTCTGCTAACGACACGTACACTGTTCAAGTCAGCCCAGTATCACAATATGTGGACAACTCGCACGAGTGGTGAGTAGCGTTGATTTTTTTTTTCTTCTGTGATTGTGCATACGCGAGTTTTGAAGGGGCATTTCGCTTTAGTTCAACTCGTTTCGAGTTTTTCTTCTTCTTGTAAATTCTCGTCAATTAGACAGAAGCCTGTAAATAGTTGTTGGCCAGAGGAGACGCAAAGGCGGTGCAATAGGGTGGGGCAGCCCTTCCAAACGAAAATTTGGACCGGGAAGTCCCCCGCACGCCCTCCGCACTTTTCAGAGCGGAAATATCGCTTACTCAGCGTATAAAATTGACGGGGCAAAATATTCGGTCTCTTGATCTATTCACAAATCGTTTCTGTAGCAACACGCTTGGAGAAACAATGCATTGTAGGACTGTTTCTGCCTCGTCACAAATTGATTGTGGACACACCAAAGATTATTCAGATTGCAAAGAGGCCTTGCGTGCGCAAGTGGGGCCATGCAATAGGCTTCGTGTTTAGTGAGACCCCCACCCTCCTGTCGACATGCCCGTAACCTCGGGGATTAAAGGGTTATCTAAACCAAATTGCGCGAACATTGTTTTATAGTCATAGGACTTTGTTTGATTTCGAGAAACGAAGTGCCTTGCTTTTCTCCTTTATAACATGTGGTGATAAATCAAGGCCTTTTGAGGGCACACGCACAAACTTTCAGATACATGCCTCCGAATACCGTTAACTACAAAACTCATCAATAAGGTATTACTCTAGCATCTGAGGTAAAAGAGCCTTTGTTTTTAGGTACCGTTTCTGTGGGCGAATTATTGCTCTTGTCATCATACATCAGCACCTGTTGGATGCATTTTTCACCAGACCCTTTTACAAGGCCTTGCTGAGAAGGTTAGTAATGATAGTGTCTTTAACATTGGCTTGATAGCCGGGATTGGCCAGCTAGTGGGAACGCTGTTTGAAGAAATTCTGCTCGGTTACCGTGATGGACTAGGCACAGCCTTGCATTCTCGTCTCGCCAAACAAAGGAAATTTTCCATCCCGGTCACTGAAATCTTGATTGCAAAATCTTTAACCTCTTTACCCCACCTGATCATACAATGACGTCGTGAATTTTACCAAGGAAAGATCTTGGAATGAATAGAAACCTGTTTCCGTGTGTCTGTCATTTACTGATTGATCCGTAGTGGGTTTCTTTAGAGAGGATTGATAAAAGATCGAATGGGTTCAATTATTTCCAATGAGAGAATATACGGTGAATTGGTTGGTGGTTCGAGTGATTCTGGAAAGCGAGGTGTGGTTCGGTAAGGTCATGGTGTTGTTTTCTCGAGTGAATTGATACAATGGTAAACTACCAAGAAAACGTGACCAAATTCGAGGTGGGGGGTGGGGAACTGTCTTACTTTACTCATAGTCGCGTCTTACCACAGAAACTTGGATAAACTCCGTTCTGCTGTGCTACGAAGTTAGTGGTAGATTAAACTCGACAAAATCTCCTTGCCGAGTCGAGGTGAAATTGTTTTATTTATCACGCTCTTCACTTCTGTGAAAGTGTTCCCATTGTATTTGATTGTGTTTTTGTAGCCCGTGTGATCTCAGTGACGTCGAAGCGATGGACTCGCTCTTCCATCAGAGCATGACATGGGTGATGGAGAATGATATCAGTGGAGCTCTGGATTTGTCGTTCACTGTTAGTGAGGAGATTTTTGGGCAGGTAAAGACAAACTCAATTTCCTTCCAGAAGTTTTCAACTCTATGAAGCGAATCAAAAGCGACTTTTTTTGCTTAATTAGAGAGAGAGAGAGTGGCCTGGTGTTTCGCGCGGTAGATTTCAAATAGAGTGGTCTGGATTGGAGTCACCGTAACTCTGCGGACTTGTTATAGTGATGATCGTAACTGAAAAAGTAACACATCCGTTTCGTCGTCTGATATAGTAGGCTTTTTGCCTGAGTATCAAAACTATTGGTATCTTAATCTTAAACGTAAACAAAAGCAAACGTAAAGCAGCCGTTAGGGACGAATTAATTCCGGAAGTTCGAGAAACGGGTGGTTGTTCGACCATATTTTCGCGTCTGATGGAGGCTTTTTTTAAGGCGTTCTACGTGTTTTATCCTTCTAAGAATTTATTTGTGTGTATGTTTTTTCAGGTAACCGAACGAGAACTTGTTCCAGATGGTAAGAACATTGAAGTGACAGAAAGCAATAAACACGAATACGTGGAGCAGATGGTCAGGTGGCGGGTGGAACGTGGAGTTGCGGAACAAACAGAAAGCATTGTGAACGGATTTAATGAGGTATGGAACCGCGATATTTAGAGCACAGCGGAATCACGATTTCTCGAACTTTCGGTTTCTTGAAACACCCCATATTTGCTTTTGATAATTCAAACCAATTCCCTATTCCCCAGGAGGTTCGTTTTACTATTTTTCTGTGGTCGCACTTTCTAAATTGGTGTGCTGAACAAAAAGAATTGAGTGCGTTTAAGTTTTTTTTCCAGGGAAATTTTAGCTATCTACAAGGGCAGAAAATCTCCCCTTAAGGCATAAAAACTCGCCAATCAGCGACATGTTATTTGTACTTTAGATCATATACACTATGATTATCGCATGTTTGATTACCCTTTTTTCCGGATGAATCATGACATGCCTCATTTTTTCCCGAAGGTGTTGGATGCTAACTTGGTCAATCTCTTCGATGCGCGGGAACTGGAACTAGTTATCTCTGGGACGGCTGATATCGACATTGAAGACTGGAGAAAGAACACTGAATATCGCTCAGGTAAATAAAAGAGTCAAATCACCATCACCACCCAGAGACCAGTTACCGAATTGTCTACTTGATGAGGAAAAATGTCAATCCCTCCCCAATGTCAATTAGTTGTAAAAATTATCACCCTGATTTTAGTTTTTGATGAAAACTCTACATTCATCGGGTGCTTACTTCAAAATTAGGCTAAGACGGTGGGCACTTACTGGAGGGAAGGCGCTCAGTCGAGAAATGAACATGATGGCACTATAATGGCAGAGGTTTCAATAACTTTTTCCGTAAACGGCAGTTGATGCTGTAATAGGCGGCTGTACCGTAAGACGAAACCCAAACACGAGTGCCTGCTCGCAAACTGAACAGACGGCGGTAATGCGTCGATCAATTCGACGCTTCAGTACCGAAACTCGTCGGGAAGTTGAACTTTTTAAGTTTGGTTCGTCCAAATTGTCGCCCCCTCGGGTCATAATTGTGTTCAAATGCCCCACCCAAGGGTACGGATTTGATGGCCACTGTTTTTGTAAAAAGGCTAAGTTCAGCGATCTTGATTTTCTTGTAAAACTTTTCTTCTGAGTCATCTGCTTGCCAAGGTGATCTCCTTACTTTTTAACACCTCCATATTAAAAGATAAAACGTGTATTCCGCTCGTAAGACTTGACAGTTCCGGTTCTAATTCCCCATTTCACCCAAGTAAATTCACACCCAAAAATCACACCCTCCCTGGGACAGTCAATTGCCCATGGGTTGCCGGGGGGTTGTTGAAGCTTCGAATTGGTCGGCGCAGTCGATAACTGGCTTTTGATGAAACTCCTGATAATGACTGGTATGAAATGATTACGGGCTGTCGTCAAACATAATTAAAAAAAGATTAGTGATCAAAAAGTGTTGTTAATGCTACATAAGTTAATCATTCTTTACACAACTGCTTTCGACGAAAATATGGTTTTTTTTTTTTCTGGATGTCTTGCATGGATCACACCTGATTGTTCACATTTAGATGTTACTTATTTACGTTTCAGGTTACCATGGTAATCACAAGGTGGTAAAATGGTTCTGGAAGGTGGTTCGATCTTTTGATAATGAACAGAGGTTAAGGCTCTTACAGGTTGGTACAAAAAATTAAGTTTTGTTATATGATTTGAAACTCATTCTTTTACGAGTCGCTTAATTACTTCATTTGATGTTCGTTATCGCCTTACTGTGCTGGCATAAATCTGACTTTCTCCTCAGGCTGAGGGTTAGGGTTAGAGTTAGATCAGGGATCAGTTCCCGACGACTCTAGATTTTTTCTATCTACGTGATTTTCAAAATCGTTATAATGGCCAACCGTCACTGATGATCGAGAAACATCGGAAGTTTTTCTGCCTCCCTGACATGTTGCTCTTTTTAACGATGGTAGGCAAATATTTTAAATTTTTCATGTCTTCACTGTCGAGAAAATTCTAAATTATGTGAGAGATTTTTTCGATGTACGACGCAGAAACCAAAAATAACAGTCTGTAATCCGCGCTAAAACTCTAAGCACTTCTGTCAAATCCATTAATCCATTTTATGTAGGACTTTTGTTACCAGGAATTTCCGTCGCGACCGTTTTTTTGTTACAGTTTTTTGTTTTTCTACAATGTAATATTTGTTCCTCAGGGATGAGCTAATAGACTAAGACTGAGTCGTTGATCTGTCCTAACTGAGCTCTTTCTTAGTTTTATCCGTCTTTAACTGTTTTATATGATTTCCTAGGGCATGGTGGCAGATAAACTCAGACATCTGAATGACCCTTCAAAAAAAAATGTCAAGGGTTGTTGCAAGATTTTACATATTTGATGATCATACGCTAATATTCTTACACTTGAAGCTTACCAGACTATTTGGCGCTACGGTTAAGCTTTTGTCGGCACTCCGACTAACGAGACAAAAGAAAAATTTGAGAAAAATTCTTGAAGTAATTTCTGCGTCTGCTGGCAGCTCCGTTCTAAGGGCCTTCATATCGTATTATGTTCTTACTAAGAGGTGTATTCTTTTCGTACTGCAGTTTGTAACAGGTACCTCTAGTATCCCCTACGAGGGTTTTGCTGCTCTGAGAGGTAGCACAGGACCAAGGAAGTTTTGCATTGAGAGATGGGGAGATTATACAAAACTACCAAGGTACGTTCAAACTTGGTATATTTTTAATGAATGAGTCTTGAAAAATAAGGGCTTAGTTTTTGCAGTCACTCATTTTAAATCCCGTCCAATCTTTTCCTTCCTTACCCATTCTCGTTCCATTTGATTTTTATGTTCCTATTGTGGTATTTTTCCGTCTTACCACATTAATATTTCATGATATCTATTAAGTTTTTTTCTCCTTCCTCACCCATATCAGGCAGGTTGGGCATGCACAAGGCTAACGTTAAGGGTGAATCGTGCGCGTAGCCCGCCCCTCGCGCTCGCTTCGTGCGTGTGTTTGTGTGACTGAAAAACGCGAAAAAAGAATCGTAATGATTTCAGAGTAACGCCCGTTCTGTAGGGCACCGGTCTTACTGCCATTACTTATCTACTATTTTGTTCTTTTCTGACAGGGCTCATACCTGTTTTAACCGGTTGGATCTCCCACTGTATCGAACGTATGAAGAACTCCATGAGAAGCTCACTTTCGCTGTAGAGGAATCGGAAACCTTTTCAATGCAGTGATCTGTCAGTCAAACTTGTTTTAAGACAAAAAGTCTGATTGGACATGTTAAAACTGGCAAGTCGTAGCGACAATTCCCCATGTGTATCATGTAGAATGTTTGTGAAAAGCTTTGTTCCTGCTGTGGTGAGAAAATTGTCCCGGAAATAAGTTACACAAAATCCAAATTGGTCTGAAAATGATTCTCAACGTCTGGCTACAGAAGCATTTTACGCAAAGTGAATTGTCGCCTTATGACTGTCGAGAAATGAACGACGCTCTTTAAGTGATGATAGAAAATATAGAACAAATTCTGTTCTCACAGCAAGTTAGAGCACTGTCGTCGGGGAGGGTAGAAAGAGGACTTAGGGGGCAAAATTCATCTTTGCGTCAATTTACGACGGAGAATTTTTGAATGGTAGTTGGGCTCCAATTTCCGGTGTATTAGAGACTCCAAAGAGAAACAGGCGAAAATTCGTACATGAATTTACAAAATTTTGGTTAAATTTGTATGTTAGGGTAAATTTGCTTGTATTGGTGAATTACTGTTCTTCCTAAATTTTTTCCCCGGTTTTCTATGATCATTTTTGCCTGCTTTTGCACAGAGACAGGGATGAAAAAGAACACATAAAGGGAAAAAACAAGTAGAGTTTTAAGGACAATTTCTTGCTTTCGAGGGAGGAACGTGACTCAACATGATGGGATATAAAATTTAGACATTTAATGGCTCTTCTCTAAAAGAAAAAAATGCTGAAAAGCCTTACTTTGGTCGTCATCTTGTGTCCATTTTCGCTCATACGCATAGCGAAGTGCTGCTGATTTGCAAATTTCCAAATGTACTAAAAGAGATGACACTTAAAGTTAGTAGATTAAAAGAGTAGAAAGAATTGAGAATTGAATTTTTCTACGCGAGGTGGTATTGATTAATACTTATTCAATAGTCTTAGTGATATTATGGAAGCTTTTAATCCCGTAATGTTACGTGGAAAATTAGGGAGTGACTCCAAAATAGATTAATACTCCTGCGTGTAGGAAGTACTTTGTGTAAGCCTGGCTATTCAAAGAGCCATTTCCGGCCTAGCTCGCATCTTTCTTCTTGCGCAGCTTATGATCGGCGTTTATCGATCGGATTATTCGCTATTTATGGCGACAAAATTTCCTCACCGGTTGTGGCCGCCTTACCAAGTGGATTAAGCTACCAGAGCTTATCACTTTATTAGACAACATTCTTGCAATAGTTTTGTTTTGTGAATTCAGATCTGGCGAGTGCTCATATCTGCATTGATGAGGAGGGTAACGAGTATATTTGTGTTTCGAAGGGGGAAGGGGCGGGGAAAAGCGGGCTTGGAGGAATAGTATTAATTCGATAATTATTATCCACGGGTTAATGCTGAAAATTGTTTTTGTGCAGGAATTATCTAATAATACTTCGAAATATGTTCTTTCGTATGACCAGACGTTTTAACCGTAGGTTTGTTGTGTCGCCCCAATAATTGTGTTAGTTTGGGCCACGACAATTTGAATGACAAAACAGAAAATTGGAAAAGGAAAAGTTTACTCGAGTTGCGCGTGTAGACATATGATAATTCGAAAAAGATTTTCAAAATTGTGAATTGCTGAATTAACTGTAATGCAAAGATAAATTATCAAAGCTGATGCAGATATAGAATATTTCCTCCTTACGAGGAATGCATAGATCGTGTGAGTCACGCAACAAGAAGAGGTTTAAGTGACGACGATGTTTCTAATTGAGTTCTGATGTGATATTTGTGAAGTAGGCCTTCAGCCTAATAGGGTATTTATTATTATTTTTTACACTTCCAAAGTTTCCGTTTGCAGCCTAATTTGTATGTATGAGGCAATTGAAAAATAGTGCTTGTTTTATTGTGCAGTTTTATAATAAAAGTTCCTAGCTTTCATAGTGCCTTTGTTTGGTCAGTTTTGTCAGTAAATCGAGCATAAATAACATTTTTGATGTCAACAGTACTTTACTGTTGAGAGGGTTGAATTATACTACGGAAAAGAATTGATCAGAGCATTTTGCGTTACTCTTACTGTCACGCAACGCCGAAAAGGGATAACTCTTGCCGAGAATGCTTGCGAACTTCAAATGTGGGATTTTCAGGGTTTTCTAATTTTCTCATTTATTAGCCCGTTTCTCGGTTGGTCCATTTTCATGACATTAGAGGCGAGCGTGATTTGAGGAGACCTTAAAAAGGCCACGCTGTTGAGTGGAGTTTTGATATCAGAGGGGCTAAAAATTGACACTCATTAGACAGATCTCTTCTAAAGGAGTAATACAAGGTTACTCTTTTTCGGGTTGGAATTGTCGGTATGACTTGGAAGAAAGATTAAGGCATGGTTATCATGTTTTTGGTATTGACACAGAAATTAGCACATGAGATTCTGATCTTTCCGCGATAACCTGAGGGAAGCTACCATTTTTAGCTGTACGACAAAATCGACTGTTTAGAAGGAAAGTACGTCACAAATAGAAGGGCAGGATTGAGTCATGGAAACCGGCGAAATGGCAAATATTTCCTCAAAGACTTCTTGTGGTCCTGTACCGAGATAGCACCTAAATTGTTTTATCTCTGGGACGTATCTTTGAAAAAAAGTAACATGCCTTAGCATAGCTTAGATAGGTGCCACTTTACAAACCTGCCAAATCCTTAAATTCGACTTAAATCAAACTGGAAATATTTCTTCTTATTTGTTCTTACATAGGAACGTTGTAATTTTAAGGGGAACTTCCTCATCAAGGTGTCGTTTGGTAAGGGAAATTTTATTCCACTTTCATCGATGGCGCGCGAATGGGCCCGTGTCAACTTACTAATTTTTTTTATGAGGGTGAATTTTCAAATAAGCTGAATATTAACCTCAATAACTTTTTAAAGCGCCTGGTTTCATAAAGGTACCTTTATTTTTTTCCTCTTATCAATATTATTCCAATTTTATTGACATGTCAACCCATTTTATCTCTCATAGATGTCTGCAAGCTATGGCTAAAAACAGATTTTATTTCCTCATATCACATTAAGAGATCAGATGTTATGGATGTGAACATAATTTGTATGACAGCTCAGCATTTTCCAGTCAGACGACAGTCATACGGGGACCTGTTAATCAAGTGGGCGGAAGTGACGACAAAGAGGAGGTGGAGTTTGACGGCATTCGACAATTCTGATTGGTCGATTGATCAGGCAAATGCGCGGCAAGGACGCAAAGGAGTTTCAAGTATTTTCATAGAGCGATCTGGTGTGACAGGTCAAGCAAATAGTTCTACAGTGTCGGCCGGCTAGATTTCAGAAAGGTGACTTTAATTTTGGAACTCTTCGATTTGACTTACAGATTTGTGATAAGGCGTAAAACTTTGTGAACGCTCATCATGGCGTTCACGCCGCGTACAGAACCGATCGAGAATTACTTCGACATTTACGATGAAATCGGAAGGTAAAACTGTTGTCTTTTTACGTAAAAATGTACACCGTTCTTCTGTTTCTTCACTGGGGTAGAATCTGATGGCGTAAATATTTCATTTACAGAGGGCAGTATGCAGTCGTAAAACGGTGCAGGGAAAAGGCATCTCAAAAGGAATACGCTGCTAAGTTTGTTCGTAAACGAAGGAAAGGCAAGGATTGTCGAGCTGAAGTTTGGCATGAAGTTGAAATCCTGAGCGCGACGAATTACCCTAACCAACATCCACAAATTATCACTTTGTACGATGTCTTCGAGACGAGAAGCGAAATCATACTCATCTTAGAACTGTGAGTTTTTCGCTTTTGTGCGGAAAATTTTATTTAATTTGATATTCTCATGATGTTGATGGTATGTTCGAAAATTCTTCCACAGCGCTCTTGGGGGAGATTTGCATCGGCACTGCATTGCGTACGATAGCGACGAACCAGCTTCGAGTAGAAGCGAAAGAGAGGTTGTTTTCCTCCTCAGGCAGATTCTGGAAGGTGTCAAACATATGCATGAACAAGACTATGTTCATCTAGACATCAAGGTGGGAATCTTTTTGATGCTGATATTGTGTTTGAATTCGTACATGTTTCTTAATGTTTGTTTGGCCCCAATTTTCGTGAGAGTGTCGTTACTCATCAAGCACTGAATAAACATTCAACAGTCAAAATCTTTGTCAATGACAAATTCAGTCAATTTACCGAGGGAAGATTGCTGTTTGCTTAGTAGCACAGTAGTATAATAACCTATTTCCAGTGATTAGTTTTGCATATTTTCCTCAGAATTACACTGTAACATCAGAAATATTTTACGCTCTTTCCAGTGCTCAGTCAGATGCGGCGTGCGGTGTGTGTTGCTCATCAAAAAATCATTCTCGACATTTCAATATTTCATGTCTGCAGATCGACGCTTTTCTTGCCTTCTTAGACATTTCTAAACTCATTATTAATGAAAACCACGCTGGCTTAGCGATCAAAATTTAATGGGAATCTCATAAATGAAATGTCTGGCTTAATTTTCGAATGTCTTGGTTTTTGAAATGCGGCAGATGACACAGAGCTTAGTAAATGCGTTGGGGAATTAGTTGCTTTGATTTTAGATGTTCCCTTTCTTACCCCTTCAGCTAAGTTTCGAATATGCTTAGGTGTTAACTATGGGAGGCAAATGTCATGCTGTGAATATAGCTCTTTTGTTGTCTTTTTTAGCCTCATAAAAGACATGTCAGACGATTGTTAAGGAAAGGAAACGGTTTCTAAGTGTTTCCCGACTTGTCTATTTATAAGAACTCCACGCGAAAATAACGGTGAAACGACACCTTTCTTGCGTAACTAGGCGCAATTTTTGTTGTTGGTAAATGCAAACGATTCAGTCCTTAGTTATTGAATGTAAAATAATTACTGTTTGGATGATTTCCTTATTGTGTAGGAAATCATTTCATTGTCATATTAATCATGTATGACACATTTTTTGCAAGGCTTAACGTAATTGTTTTGCAATAGCTTCATTTCAAAAATATGTTTGTAATTTTGTTTTTCTGCGTAGGAAACATTGTAAATATGTTGACCTAATTTGTTCCTTGTGATCCTAGAGGAAATGTGTTAAGTTACATCGTTAAAAAGCTATTGCGAAGTATGATGAATTAAGATACTATACAGAAATGAAAAGTTTCTTCAATTATGAGGCAATTTGATCGTAATGCACACATTTTTTTTACTTTTCAAATTTATTTCAACACTCTGTGAAAGGAAAGGTTTACCAAAGTCCTTCAAGAAATCTTAACCTGTCATTCAACATTCCCTAATATGGTGTTTATTGAAATAACCTAATCAAAGACCTCTTAGTTATCAAATAAACTAGAGTGTGAGGGTCACCTAAGAATTTATTTAAATCAACAGCACTCTGTTTATATCACACTCTAGAAAAATTCCAATTTCATTACCATTTTGCCGGTACCATTCCTCACATGCCTCACATACGCCTAGACTTGTTGTTTTTCTATAAAATGTAGGATATCCTTAGTCAAAATACACTCTAAATACTTTTGACCCCAAAAAGTACTTGAACAAACTATTCTAATAACTGATTTCTGTCTGATCAAGCTACAAGCACAGCACAGTGTTATGATTTCTTACAACTGTGCCCATTTTTTCAGCATCATAGGCATTCAAGAAGGTTTTCCTTTGACTGGGAGCTGTATTGTGCTTTGAGAGGTCTTCAGACTCCAGCTATTGTCTTTCTTGTATCCATTGTTTAAATTGGCAAGAAAAATTACTAACAGTTTATCTTTAAATGGATGCAGAAGAAAAGGTTCATGTCATGGTTTGAAAAGGGGTTAATTATGTCTTTGTTAGTGTCAGTGAATTTTACACAAGCCTTATGTAGGTGCTGTGAGAACATACAAGCTCATGATGGCAGTACTTTTGTTATGATTATTCATCAGATTCTGCTGCAAGTTTGAAATTGTAAATAATTATTGATGATGTTATTGTTAGATTTTGGATTTTCTCTTTCCTCATAGGAATTGACAAAAACTCCAAATTACTAGGATCGATTTTTTTGTCAGATTTTTTTCTTGTGAGTTCAATATCTAGTAATGACCCAATAGTCTCAGACCTGGTTAGCAGGAAAAAATGTTCAAGTTGAGATTTCAGCCTGGATAGTGACTTTAGAGACTTAGGGTATTTATCAAGGTGGACAAGGTGCAGCCTCCTAAGAATTTCTCCAGCAACTAGGCTGGCTTTTCAAGATGGGTAATTTTTTCGCATGTTTACTGACCCATTAGCTGGTCTATCCTCTGTTCTGATATGAACAAAATAAAATGTGGACAAAGATATAGAGCAATTTAGGGTGGGTGTCTGGAACCAAGCAAGCTTTTATGATGGGGTCCCAAAGCTATAAAATGGTCACCAAATCAGATTTGTTTCTTATCACAGCATAAAAGATATATCTATACAGTGATGGAGGTTAATGTGTTATGTCTACGAGGAAGCCAATTAATATAAAATAAATAATGTTTTATTTTCCCACCTCCTGAAAACACAGTATATTGATCAGGACAGAAGGTGAACCTGGGGCATTATTCATTATACCTTATAATCAACACAAAGTGGTTGCTACATTCAACAACAACAAGATTCTGGCAACAAAATGTTAATGTGTTGTAGTTCATGTGATCACAGTTTATCTTGCTTAACTTTGCAGTATAATCCAGTGCAATTGCTTGAGACTTTAAATATGGAAGAGTCTGCTTTAAAAATTTCTTTTTCATCTCAATATTTAATGATACACTGATTTTTCTAGTCCTTAATTCCTTTAATATGTTAGAAAACATGGCAAATTATCTCAAGTTTAATTGAATGGAAGTTGAACCCAGCCTAGTATTCAACTGCAAGGCTGCCCACAGCTTCACTTAGAATCCATCTCAACCTGGATACTAAACTCCT